AGTATCTGAGCTTGAGTAAATGGTTGATTAGTAGGTATCCTATCTTGAAATACATAATTTAAAACATGAAAGTGAGAGGCCTGGAAAACATTTAAGTTTGCATGTCTGGCAGTCTCAATACTAGGAGAGACCTCTAGGATGGAAAAGATTATTGTGAATTTATTTGTGCTTTGAATTTTTACATTTACTAACTGAATCTACCATATTGAACAAAAGCTGTACTGTAAGTTTGGTCAGTAAATTTGTTGGTAATACGTCTTTTTAAGACTTAGTAATTGTGGTTTGGTGAGCAGAGTTGAAGGAAATTGGAATAACATCATTTGTGTGAAATTTCAGTGTCCTTCAAAGTTAGACCGAGGTTACCAATTTCTTAAGTAGTGCTAAGATACTATTTAAAATTTTAACGGATACATTTTATAGCAGTAGTTGTTACACACTGAGGGTCATGCTGGTAGCTCTTCACATGAATAACATTTTTTATCTTTATATGTTCAAGTTGTCCATTGAGATTGTAATTGAAGTGCTTTTTTTTTCTTTTTGAGGAAGATTTTGGTATGTATTGTTAACTTTAGAGACTACTGTAAATACTTTGGATGAGATTATTTTTGTAAGGGGAGGTAACATCTATTGACGTGCTTTCTGTTTATACTATTATTGAAGCAATCAGGGTAATTAATACCTGATTTGTTACATGTAGCAAATGAATATATTTTAGTAATGAATATATCTTCAAATGTCAACACTTTAAACCATTTTTAATTTTAAAAAGTGTAACAGATATACTTAGTTGCTTTTATGATTAATTTAAACAAATTAACCAGGAGGGGGGAAAAGTCATTAAATTATTTCAATGACTGAAAGTTAATTTGTGTTCTTTCTTAATTACATATTTTTTTTCATGGTTGTAATTAGTGGTGTATTAGTGGTTAGTGGTTCTTAACCCTGGTCAGGCATTGAAAATCTTTCCAGTGCTTAGCACACTCAGAAGCCTATTAATTCACTAAGTATCAGGTGGGCCCCAGAAATTTGCATTTTAAGTATTTCAGGTAATTTTGATGAATAGTCAGAGCTGATAACCTCTGATGTGAATTATATAGTATGAGGCAATATATATAAAAGTACTACTCTGTAAACTCTTAAATTTTATTACAAAGTCATGGTATTATTCACTTAATATTTAATATAGTTTTTGGTGTATTAATCTATATGCAGATTATTTTAATGTGTACATAGTGTTCCAATGTTGATATCCTAATTTGCATAGCCATTTCATTATTTTGAGGCATTTTTCAGTTTCCATATTTTAGATTTGTAAGTGGTATTTTAAAGAATATCTTTAAACAAACTTTTTCTGCCTTGTTATTTTCCTAGGGTTCTAGGGTATTTGTTAGTGTAGCACCTTAAACTGGTTTTCATTTACATTTCTTATATTACTAAAGAGAAATATTTAAACTGATTAGCTTCCCTACTTTCAGTAGAATATACCGAACTTGTTAAAATCACCATCAGGAATATTTGGGTTTATGCTGTGACTTATGGGGCTATTGAATAATGCATTATGTGAATCATTTTTGTTTTATCTTTTTTGTTTTTATTTTTAATGTTTTATTTATTTTTGAGAGAGAGAGAGAGAGAGAGAGCGCGCGAGCATGAGTGGGGGAGGGGCCGGGGGGGGGTTGGAGACACAATCTGAAGCAGGCTCCGGTCTCCGAGCTGTCAGCACGGAACTCCATGCGTGGCTAGCACCACTCAGCAACTGTGAGATCACGACCTGAGCTGAAGTCGAATGCTTAACCGACTGACCCACCCAGACGCCCCAGTCTGTCCTTGAAGTTTGTAGCTATCTAGTTTGCTGTTACAAATCTGTGTTTTAGTTGCTCAGTTTTTATTTCTCGGTTTATTTCTTTATTGAAAGTCTGCTATCAAGTATTGAGTTAGATTTCCATTTCTGGTTCCTAGTTATGTTCTATAGGATTGATAGCTGAGTGAAAAGGAAGTACATTTGAGTAGAAATGATTCTTCCATGGATGTGTAAAAAATAATGTGCAAATAGAAAAGGACTGCAAACATTCTTCATATGGTCACTGTATAATTTGCAAAGACTGTAATTGCTCAGAAGGCAGGATGGCTTGATGTCTGTTTTCTCGTTCCTGAGAAGTGAATGAGGTGAACATTTCTGTAGTGTAAATTTGGAAACATGAGAACTTGGCATGAAGAGATGAAACTAGTGATCCTAGATAGAACTAGGATCTTGTCTTAGGATTTGTATAAGAATATAAAAGTCATAATTAGAATTAGGAGTTACTTTATGAGATGCTTAATTCAGTTGTGTGCTAAAAAAATAACTGGAATGACTTAGCTGATAAGCAGATCCATCAAAAATACTTAAGTTTGTGTTTGGCCTTGGTGCTATGCTGTTAAAAAGATGTAATTTTCTTTTCTTTTCTTTTCTTTTTTTTTTTTTTTTTTTTTTGAAATCCTGGAATAATTTTAGACTTGCTGAAAAGTTGTAGGCCCTAACATTTTGGAAGTTAAATATTTGGTCAACAGGAGGAAATGCAGAAATAACACCACAAGCATACAAATGCAACATGTTGTATGAGATAAATGCACTGTCAACATTAGTGCTGGCCAGGAGTAAGGGAATAAGGGAGGAGTTTTATGCTTAACGCACACATCTTTATTGGAATCTTGTTGAGGTTTTTAGGAGGGCTGGGGGGGGATTTTTTTGCTCTTTTTTTTTTTTTTTTAAGTTTCTTTTTATTTTTGAGAGAGACCCTGCATATGCAAACAGGGGAGGGGCAGAGAGAGAAAGAATCCCAAGCAGGTTCCATGTTGTCAGCACAGAGCCTGACACAGGGCTTGATCCCAGAACCCTGACATCATGACCTGAGCCTAAGCCAGGAATTGGACACTTGACTGACTGAGCCACCCAGGCGCCCTTCCATTGTTTTTTAATTGAAGGATGGGTGTTCTAAGTATAGTCGGTCATTAGTGGATTCCATTTAACAGATCATCAGCAAGATTTTTATTCCCTACTTTAGGCCTAGGCCCAGGTATCTGTTTTTATCAAGCTCCCCAGATGCTTCAGTTTACAGCCAAGTTTAGAAATCACTTACTTGCAACATAAAAGTCCAGAGACTTTAATAATAGCTGTCATCTATTGCACAACCACTATAATAACTATCATTTATTATACTTATTATGTGTGAGGTGCCAAATATTTCATATATACGTTACAATAACTTTATAATGACATTATCCTGGTTTAAGGCTCAGAAAGGTTATGTAACTTACTCACCAGTGTGTAGTTCTAAGTTACAGCAGATAATGGAATTCAGGTTTCTAGCTGTATTTATACTATTACTCCCTCATTAAAAACTTAGACAATTATTTTAGGGTTTACTTGGTTGGGCTTTTTTCTTCTACTCAGATTGAGTCATATTCTTTGTATTTTTGCCCCTGCTTATGCTGTTCTTACCTTCCTTGAAGTACCATCCATCCATTAAGGAAGGCCCAGCTCAAAACTACCTATTCAGGCAGATTTTTCCCAATTATCTAAGCCTTTGATGATCTTTCCTTTTCCTTGAACTCCTAGAAGACTACTCTTTTGGTAACAGCACAGTCAATTTTTTATGTATTATTGGTTAGTTACTGTTCCTTTTTAATATTACAGAGTTTATTGGTGGGGTAGTATAGCAGTATTGCCATGTGTGACATGCTTTTTTTTTTTTTTTTTAAGTTTATTTATTTTGACAGAGACAGCATGTGAGCAGGGGAGGGGCAGAGAGAGAGGGAGAAAGAAAATCCCAAGCAGACTCTGAGCCATCAGCATGGAGCCCTGTCAGGGTTTGATCTCATGAACTGTGAAATCGTGACCTGAGCCGAAACCAAGAGTTGGATGCTTAACCGACTGAGCCACCCAGGCGCTCCATATGGCATGCTTTTTGAGCCACCTACCTATCTCTAGCTTTATTGTGCATAGTACTGATATTGAGTAGAATATTTTTTATAATGAAATATAAATTGAAAGCCTTGGTTATGAGTTAAAATTAGAATTTGGAGTTTTGAGGTATCAAATTATTTTGGTTACTTTGGTAGCTCAATAAAGCAGGCTTTTCAGATCTTTGGTTTTAGAGTAAATTTATAAACATACAGATACATTTATCATAATTTATTGATGAATGAAACAGTAATTAATATAACTTGGTTTGCAATACAGTTTTTTTTAAAGTATTTTCTTAGGAACTATATTACTCTTCTAGGGCTGCCATACCACAGATTGGGTGAATACCGCAAATTGGGTGGCTTAAACAACAGACTTTTATTTTCTCACAGTTCTGGAGGCTGGAAGTAAGTCCAAGGTCAAGGTGCCAGTAGGTTTGGTTTCTTTTGAGGGTTCTTCCTGGCTTGCAGTCAGCTGCCTTCCCAGTATGTCTCCACATGGCCTTTCCTCTGTACACAAGTGGAGAGAGAGATACGGACACCAGTCCTTTGTGATTTGAGGCCCTACTCTTAGGACCTTCTTTAACCTTGATTACGTCTTTATTTTCTATTAAAATTTTTTTTTTTAATGTTTAGTTTTTGAGATAGAGAGAAAGAGAGAGAGAGAGAGAGAGAACATGAGCAGGTGAGGGACAGAGAGAGGGAGACGGAGAATCCAAAGCAGGCTCCAGGCTCTGAGCTGTCCGCACTCGGGGCTTGAATCCATGCACGGTGACATCATGACCTGATCCAAAGTCAGATGCTTAACCAACTGAGCCACCCATGTGCCCCTTGATTACCTCTTTAAATGCCCTGTCTTCAAATGTAGATAAGGATTCAACACATGAAAACAATTCAGTCCATAACAGGAATGGAATTTTTATTTTCCTATGTGGTGTTGTAATGTAGGTAAACGATAGAAAAAATTTTTAAAAAGATAATATTTGTGTTGATTTCATTTTATTAGGCAAGCAGTGCTATGATGAGTATCAGTTAAACATTTTATGAGTCATGGGATTAGATATTCTGACAAAAAATGGCTTTGATGTCTTTAAGAAGCTAGTTTGGGAGATACATACTAGAAATAATTTGAATTCTTTGATGAAACTGCTGTGTTATGTTCAAAGTACAGAGTTTGTGTGTATGTGTGTCGTAAGTGTGTAGGGCACAGTAGTGACTGATTAAAAGGAACTAAGTTAATCCTTTGAAAATTTTGGGTATGTTTTTAATCCTTCTTGTGTTATTCCTTTGATATTTTTACAAGATCTCAGGATTGGAAGATGTATAAAGTCATTTAATTATGCAGAAAGTGCTCTCCTTTCCCCTGCAGTGTACCTGTCAGGTAGCTAACTCTGCCCTGTCCAGTACTGTAACCATGAACAGAATGGCTCTTGAGCACTTGAAATGTGTCTTAGTCTGACTTGAGATTTGGTATGAGGGTACAATACACAGACGATATTGAAAAGACTTTGAAAAAAAGAATATAAAATGTCACAGTAATTTTTATATTGATCGCAGGTTAACATGTTTTGAGTATATTGAGTTAAAAGTATTATTGTTACTTGTTTCTTTTTGCTTTTTAAATGTGACTACTAGAAAATTTTAAATTGCATGTGTGGCTTGTGTTGTATTTCTAATGGATAGAGCTGGTCTAGCCTGTGTTAAAAATCCACTACCTTCTTTAAAAAAACTTTTTTTAAAAATGTTCATCCATTTTTGAGAGAGAGAGAGAGACAGAGCATGATTGGGAGAGGGGCAGAGAGAGGGAGACACAGAATCTGAAGCAGGCTCCAGGCTCCAAGCTGTCAGCACAGAGCCCAAAGCAGGGCTCAAACTCACGAACTGAGAGATCATGACCCCAGCCAAAGTTAGACGCCCACCCGACTGAGCCACCCAAGCGCCCCTAAAATCCACTACCTTCTGAGGATGCATATTGCATCTTTGAATAGCTGTCAGTATTAATTTTTTCTTCTATTTTTGTGTATATCTGAAGTCTATCTTTGATATTTGTATTCAGAAGTTCTCATTTACTCCTTGAGATCAAAAAGACAAATCTAATTTCTTTTTTTTTTTTAATTTTTTTAATGTTTATTTTTGAGAGAGACAGAGTGTGAGTGGGGGAGGGTCAGGAGAGAGGGAGACACAGAATCTGAAACAGGCTCCAGGCTCTGAGCTGTCAGCACAGAGCCTGACATGGGGCTCGAACTCATGGACCGTGAGATCATGAACCGAGCCGAAGTCAGACAACCCAACCAACTGAGCCACCCAAGCGCCCCTAGTTTCTCTTTTTAATATTATTACTAACAGTCTGGACACAACTTACTCTGAGTCTTTTGTAGAGAATTTGTCTTCACATTTTTTTTTTTTTCAACGTTTGTATGACAGGGGGTTGTATCTCTCCAACCATTGTTATTACTCCCTTCTAAACTTTCTTCATTTTGTCCATATCTCTGCTGATACCAGGAACTGAGTATCATGTGATCTTAAAATTATAGATCAGAATAAATCTTTTTTTCTACATGCTATATAAGTCTGTTAATGAGGCCTAAAGTTAAATTACTTTTTAGGGTGCCTTTAGTTTCTTATTGACCTATGGGCATAATGTCAACTAAGGTGTTTCTGTCTTTGCTTTTTGTGCTATTGTTTTATCTTGCTTCTTCAACGCTTTTTTTTTTTAAGAGGAGATTGTTGGTTGATAGGTGCAATGTGTTCTACCTCATACGACATTTGTGGTCATGTTTTGTAGTTCTGAATTAATCTGAAATTTTGTCTTCAGATTCTAGTTTGGGGTGGGGAAAAATGACATGGTTTGTATCCCAGTATTTCTATATTAATTTCATTTAGATTTTGAGTGTGTCAGATAAAGTATTTATCTTTCTCTGCGTTTATCATCCCCAGGTTTGACAAGCATATCTTTTATGTTTTTGTGTAGAATAATGTTATCTGGGTTTAATTAAGGATGGATCCTTGTGGTGCTGAAGTTGACATACATCTAGTCAGCTATTAATCCACCTTATTTTAGTATTCCAACCTTTTTTTTTTCTGTCTTGCTCATGTTCACATCATGATTGAAATCTTGTGAGAATTCGCACCTATGATTTCTTCCTTTGCAGTCTAATGAACTTGTCAGAAATGGAAAATAAAGAACATATGACTTAACCTATTAAGAAAAATCCATACTGGGGCGCCTGGGTGGCTCAATTGGTTAAGCGTCCAACTTCGGCTCAGGTCATGATCTCACAGTTTGTGAATTTGAGCCTCTTGTCGGGCTCTGTGCTGACAGCTCAGAGCCTGGAGCCTGCTTTGGATTCTGTGTCTCCAGCTCTCTCTGCCCCTCCCCTGCTCATGCTGTGTCTTTCTCTCTCCTTCAAAAATAAACAAACATTATAAAAAAGAAAAACCCGTACTGAGTTGTGGTTAACATTACTTCATTTTCTTTCTATGTGATCCTTTTGCTTTTTGTTTTAATGGAAATGCTTCAAGTTCTTTAATAATAACTTGGAAGATAGAAGATTGTACCAAATTACTTCCAAGTCTAATTTGCAGAATGCCGCCTATATTAAAATTTGATATATTTTCTTTTTGGCATTTTTTTTTTTGTAGACTTTTAAAAAAACTGTAATGATGGTGGCACATTTTGCTGGGTAAGTCCATAGGTTAAGTCATAGATATATCTATGCTTAACTTTTAAAGAAATTGTCAAGCTATTTCCCAATATAGTTGTAACATTTTATGTGCCCATCAACAGTGTATAAGAACTCTGGTTACTTCACATACTCAGCAACACTTGGGATGGTCACTTTTATTAATTCTAGCCATTTTAGTAGAATTGTAGAGATACCTCATTGTGATTTTAATTTGCATTTTCGTAATGACTCATGATTGTCCAGGTCTTAAGTGCTTATTTGCCAACCATAGATCTTTGGGGGTCTGTTGAAAGCTTTGGTCCATTTTTAAGTTGGGTTATTTGTCTTAATTGACTTGTATATTTTAGATACTGGTCCTTTGTTAAACTAGTCCTTTGTTTCTCATTATAGTTTTTATCCACTGTCAATAATTTTTGTTTGTCACAATTATTATTGTACAGTTAGCCCTACTATGATTTTGTTTTCATGTTACTACATTTTTAATTGGAATTCTTTTGTAAGAAACAACTATTTTGTCTCATGCTTATTTATTCAGTTATTTATTAATATTGGTATGAACAAAGGAAATTGATTTTATCAGTTTTATTGCTCGAATTGTCCTGGATTTGACCATTGGGAGCTCTTTCAGTCTGGCTCCTATTCATCCTTTCAGCATGCCTTATCAGTTTTGGAGAGCATTTCCTTACTCTCTGGTTGATCTTGTATTTTCCTACCTAAGCCCTTGAATCAATCACTTCTCCAAGGAGTCTAGTTTCTTTTTATTTGAGAATGGTGTTTAGAAACCAACTTCTGAGCTCTGAAAGTTTTCAGTGCTATTAGGATGTCATTGCTTCTAGGTGTTTCAAGCAGATAGATCTAGGAAATTGTATATTTATATACACCTAAACATCAATATTCATATGTACCTATGTGTGTGTAAATATATATGTGTGTGTGTGTGTGTGTGTGTGTGTGTATATATATATATAAATGAGGAATTAGTATTGATAAACCAGTTCCAGTACATTAACACAAGGTTCAGTCTAGCTTTTTTCTTTTCCTTATTTGTAACTCCTTTCTTCAACAGTGAAAAACCTGGCTCTCATCCATAATTTATTATGTATTTGATTCTGGTGTATTTGTAACTGTATTTTCATAATTACTTTGTAGATATATTTGCTTACTTGACTGTAGTCTTTGTGTATGCTTCTTTTTAACTTTAGTCTTAAACTATACAGTCAGAATATTGTTTTCTAAAATTAACTTGTGTTCTTTTCTTTCTCACCATGTTCAGTGAAGTTATGGTATTCATTTGAAATACAGTTTCATTTGTTACTGTTTCCATTTTGTGCTCTTCTCTTATCTTTGCTCATTTGGATTATTTTTTATTGGGATATGTGAAACATTACTATGGTGTTAATAGTCAACTCTATAATAAACAGTATGTCGAGAAGTATCTCGTGAGTATGTCTCACCTCTCATCCCTTTTACCCTATTCTCATTTCCCCGTCACTTTCCCATCCACGTGTATGTGTAACCAATGTCATTAGTTTCCAGTTTAGTTTCTTCCTATCTTTTTGCACAAATGAGATACATGTAAGAAAGAGATAAACATGTTACATATGAAAGGTAGTATATTGTAGAAACTGCATACCTGGTTCTCTAACAGCTTTATTAAGATACAATTCACATGTGCCACTAAAGTTCACCCCTTTATATTGTACAGTTCTGTTGTTTTGGTATATTCAGAGAGTTGTGCAGGAATCCTGCTATCTACTTTTAGGACATTTTCATCAACCGCAAAAGAAACCATGTACCTATTAGCAATTACTACTGCATTTGCTTCGCTTCCCAGGTTTTGGCAACCACCGATCTATTTTCCATCTTTATAGATTTGCCTATTGTGGGCATTTCATACAAATGGAATCATACAGTACATTGGTGTTTTGCGATTAGCTTCTTTCACTAAGCATGATGCTTTCAAGATGCATCCGTGTTGTAGCGTATATTAGTACTTTGTTCCTTTTTATTTTTGAGTAATATTTCATTATATAGATAATATCACATTTTGTTCATCCATTCAAAAATTGATGGGGATTTGGGTTCTTTCTACTTTTTGGCTGTTGTGAATAAAGCTGCTGTGCATATTTAAGTACAAGTTGTTGTGTGGACTTAACGCTTCCACTTCTCTTGGATGTATACCTAGGAATGGAAATGCTGGGTCATCAGGTAACTGTATGTTTAACTTTTTGAGGAACTGCCAGTCTCTGCCAAAGCATGTGGCATTTTACATTCCTGCCAGCAACGTATGCGGGCTTCCATTTCTCCACATCTCTGTCTGCACTTAACATTGTTTCTCTTTTTTATTTTAACCATCTTGGGTGTGAGGTACTGTCATTGTGGTTTTAATTTGTATTTCTCTAATGGCTCATGATATTAAGCATCTTTTTTGAGTGCTTATTGGCAACTTGTATATCTTCTTTGGAAGAATGTCTTTTTGAGTGCTTTACCCAATTTTTAATCAGGTTGTCTTTTTATTTTTTTTTATTATTAACAAACCATTCCTAATTCAAGGTCATGAAGATTTATGACTGTTTTCTTCTAAGAGTTTTATGGATCTTGATCTTACATTTAGGTCTTTGATCCATTTTAGTTTTTAAAAAATGTTTATTTATTTTGACGGGGGAGGGTGGGAGATGAGAGAGAGAATCCTAAGCAGGCTCTGCACTGTCAGCACAGAACCCAATGCAGGGCTCAGTCCCATCAACTGCAAGATCATGATCTGAGCCAAAATCTAGAGTCAGATGCTTAACTGATTGAGCCACCCAGGCTCCCCTGATCCATTTTGAATTAACTTTTGTATATGGTGTGAGGTGGGTATCCAGTTTCATTCTTTTGTATGTGAATATCCAGTAGTCCTAGTAGCATCTTTTGTTGAAAAAACTGTTCTTTCTCCATTAAGTTGCCTTAGCAACTTGTAGAAGAATAGTTGACCAAAAATGTAAGAGTGTATTTCTGGACTGTCAGTTGTAGTCCATTGATTTGTGCGCCTGTCCTTATAGTTGTACCATGCTGTTTTGATGACTATAACCATGTAAATGAGTTTTGGAACTAGGAAGTGTGGTACCTCTAGCTTTGTTTTGTTTCCAGATTGTTTGGCTATCCAGTCTCTTTTGAATTTCCACATGAATTAGAGGGTTAATTTGTCAGTTTCTACGAAGAAACCAACTGGGACTTTGATAGTCTTGGCCTTGAATTTGTAGAGTATTGCCTTCTGAACAAATTGTCTTATCTATGAATGCAGGATACTTTTCATTTACTTAGACCTTTAGTTTTTTTGAACAATGTTTTACAATTTTCATTGTGTAATATTTGCTCTTTTGTTAGATTTATTCCTGTTTTTATTTTTGATGGTATTACAAATGGATTTTTTTTTAAGTGTCATTTTGGGTTGGTTTTTGCTAGTGTATGAAAATGTAATTGTTGTTTGTATATTCATCTTGTTTCCTGCAACTTTGTGAGTGTATTTGCGCACGTGCGTGTGCACACGTGTGTATGTGTGTGTTTTAGTGGATTTGCTAAGGTATTTTATTTATAAGATCATATCATTTGTAAGTAGAAATAGTTTTACTTCTTCCTTTCCAATTGGGATGGCTTTTATTTTTCTTGCCAAGTGCCTTGGCTTGAACCTCCAGAACAGTGTTGAGTAGAAGTGGCACTAGAAATCATTGTATTGTTCCTGAAGAGTGAAAGCATTTAGTCCTTCACCGCTAAGTATGATGTCACTGTGGGTTTTTCTTAGATGTGCTTTATGAGTTTGAGGAAATTCCCTTTTATGCCTAGTTTGTTAAGTGTGTTTATCATGAAAGGATGTTGAATTTTTGCCAAGTGCTTTTTTTGTGTATTGGAGATGATCATGTGTTTTATTGTTATTGCTTTATTTAGTTAATATGGTGTATTACTTTGGTTAATATGTAGAACCAACCAGTGGATGAGTTCCACTTGTATGGTGTATAATCATTTTTATATTGCTGGATTTGGTTTGCCAGTATTTTATTGATATTTTTTGTATGTAAGGGCATTGGTCTGTTGTTTTCTTTTGAGGTGTTGTTTTCTTTTGAGGTGTTTGTCTGATTTGGTATCAGGGTAATGTTCTCTCCTCTTTTGTTTCTTGGATTAATTTGTGAACAATTGGGCAGTCTTTAAACCTCTGATAGAATTCACTAGTGGAGCCATTTGGACTTGGGCATTTCTTTGTGGGAAGATTTTGGATTACTAACGTAATTTCTTTATTTTTTATAGGACTTAAGATTTTTCTATTTCTTCTTTAGGTAGTTTATGTCTTTCTAGGAATTTTTGCATTTCTCTATGTTTTCCAGTTTGTTGGCATGCACTTGTTCATAGGTTTCCTTATAATCTTTTTTTTTTTCTGTAAGGTTAGTAGTGATTTGCCCTCTTTCATTCTGACTTTAGTAATTTGAGTGTTCTCTAGTTTTTTTCTTGATTAGTGTAGCTAAGGTTTGTCAAAGTTTAATCTTTTCAGTGAGCCAACTTATGGTTTGGTTGATTTTCTTTATTTTCGTTATATTTATTTTTATTTCTGCTCAAGTCTTCATTTGTTTGCTTTGCATCTAGTGTGTTCTTTTTTTAGTTTTTTTGAGGTGAGTGTTAGGTAATTGATTTGAGATCTTCTCTTTTTAACATAGGCATTTACTACAGCTATAACTTTTCCTTTAAGTTCTGAATTAGGTGCATTCAGTAAGTTTTGGTATGGGGTGTGTGTGTGTGTGTGTGTGTGTGTGTGTGTGTCTATGTTATTACTTATCTCAACTTTTCCGGTTTCCTTTAAAATTTCTTCTTTGACCCATTGGTCACAGTGTAGTGTTTAACTTCCACAGATGTCATTTTTTTCAATTTTCTCCTGTTATTAATTTATAAATTCATTCCTTTGGGGATGAAGAACACAGTAGCTCATTTCAGCCCTTTAAAATTAAGACCAAAATGTCTAATATATGGTCTGTCCTGGAGAACATTTCATGTGCATGTAGAATGTATTTTGCTGTTGTCAGATGCAGTGTTGAGTCTAGTTGTTATGTTTATGTCTTCTGTTTCCTTGTTTATCTTCTGTGTACTTATTTTACATATTTTGAAAATGAGGTATTGGGGCGCCTGGGTGGCTCAGTCGGTTAAGCGTCCGACTTCGGCTCAGGTCACGATCTCGCGGTTCATGAGTTCGAGCCCCGCGTCGGGCTCTGTGCTGATGGCTCAGAGCCTGGAGCCTGTTTCGGATTCTGTGTCTCCCTCTCTCTCTCTGACCCTCCCCCGTTCATGCTCTGTCTCTCTCTGTCTCAAAAATAAATAAACGTTAAAAAAAAATTAAAAAAAAAAAAGCAAATGAGGTATTGAAGTTGAGCTATTGTTGAATTCTCTTAATTGCCCCTTTCGTTTTGTCAGTCTTTGATTTGTATATTTTTGGACTCTGTTTTTAGGGGCACGTATGTTTATAATTGTTATACCTTCTTGATAAATTGATGTTTTAATCAGTATAAAGTATCTTTGTGGTAACAATTTTGTCTTAACGTCTGTGTTGTTCCCACTCCAGCTCTCTGGTTTTTTTTTTTAAATCCTTTTTATTTCAAGCTGGTTGTGTCTGTGATTCTAAAAAGTTTTTTTTGTTGTTGTTTTGTTGTTTTTTTTTTTTGTTTTTGTGCACCATATAATTGGATCACGGTTTTTTTTTTTTTAATTTTTTTTAACGTTTATTTATTATTCAGAGACAGACACAGAGCGTGAACAGGGGATGGGTAGGGAGAGGGGAGACACAGAATCTGAAGTAGCTCCAGGCTCCAAGCTGTCAGCACAGAGCCCGATGCAGGGCTTGAACTCACGAACTGTGAGATCATGACCTGAGCCCAAAGTTAGTCGCCTAACCAACTGAGCCACCCAGGTGCCCCTGGATCACAGTTTTAAATGTGTTCAGCCAATATTTGTCTCTTTATTGAGTGTTTAATCTGTTTCATTTACTCTGGGTACTGAAAGGTGAGATCTATATCTGTCATTTTGCTATTTGTTTTCTGTATATCTTATGTCTCATCAGAATCTCTGGTTCTGTTTATTTTATTTTTTTCTTTTTCTATTTCTGAGTTACTTCTTTTTTTGTTATTGTTGTTAAGCAGATATTTTCTAGTGTACCATTTTAATTCCCCCCACCCCGCTACTTCTTGCTATATTCTTTTGAGATTGTGTGTATGTCTGGCAGGAGCATTGTCCTTGGGATTATAGTTAATATCTGAATTTGTAACATAATCTGGGTCATTATAGGGACTCCCATTATGTATATGTTGGTATGTTTGAGTATGTTTTCACAGTCTGTGGTTCTGTTCATTTTTTCCCTGCATTCTGATTTGTATCTTTTCCTTAGACTTGGTTAATGTTATTTGACCTATCTTCAGATTTGCTGATTCTTCTGCTAGCTCAGATATGTTGAGCTTCTCTAGTGAAGTTTCAT